GAAATTGTACATTTCGTTGACAATTCAACTACAGCAGGTTCCATGTCATGCATGCACCACATGCTCCGGAATACTAGTATTGATGAACATAAATAATGCTTGCTTGATCTGATATAACAATAAATAAAGAGAGAACTTACAACTCCAATAACAGAAGGAAGCCACCCTTTGTATAAAGCACGGAAGCCTTCTTGCCGATAAACTGTGCTCAATGCATGGAACATTCCTCTATACTGGTAAGGGGAATTAGCAGTCTGTATCACAGAAATTGGAGATATTCATTGGTGAATGTTGACAAGAAGAGGCTACTGTAATACCGGTTTAGCGCAAGAATAAAGCTACCCAAATATACCCCCTTAAAGAAACTCAAAATCTTTACCTGGACAGTAATCCTGCCACGGACCATGTCCATAGGATAAGTGGCAGACATGGCAATGATTCCAGCACATGCTCCAGCACCAAGACGCAATACAGGAGTAAGCTGAGCATCCTCTGGAAAATATCCAAAAGAAGATGAGAAACTAAAATAACTTCATGGCACATAAGATGAAAGTAAATTTATGGGCTGTAAAAATTTGATTCATCTAAATAAGAAAGTGTTCAATTATATAACAGATGAAGGGCAAAGGTTGATGGGTCGAACAAATCAAGGGGCTAACAGAGTGATCCTGACAACAAATAGAAATTACTAATAAAAATAACTTTGGTCATAAATCTATGCAGTTTGCATAACCATGGTTTTGAAGCAGAAGAGCTAAGTTATGCAAATATTTAGGCAGATCGAATAGAATGTTTAAATCTCTGTACATATTTTTTCCTATCCACATTCATAGATCTATGCAGTTCGCATAACCATGGTTTTGAAGCAGAGGAGCTAAGTTATGCAAATATTTAGGCAGATCGAATAGAATGTTTAAATCTCTGTATATATTTTTTCCTATTTACATTCATAGAAATCCAGAGAATATACTAGTAGCAAACAACGTAATAATCAATTGTAAAGGTACTGAATTATGTGGAATGAATAGACCTGGATGAAAAAGATTAAGAATCATACCATTGCCAGATTGCCTCCGATAAAGCCACAAAATCCCACTGTTAAAAACAATAAATGCTAATCAGAGATAAAATCGAGCGTTCATCAGTTGCAGCGACATTGCAATGATTCAATATATTTCTAAAATAACAGAATAGGCATCTATTTCTAACTGAGTAACTGAATTAACTAGAAGTTTAGCAATTAATTGTCATGTTCACTGCAAATCACGTACATCTTAGATTTTCAATCCAAAGTGAACAAACAGAAGAAAGACGGGTAAGGGGGGTCATAAATGATTATTCATAGTTTATTTGTTTTACTTTTTAATCAAAAGTTCATCAAAATTAGTAGTATTGCTGGTAAGGTTGATCCAATGCACGGTCCAGACAAGAACCAAACTTCACTAAAAGAGACCATATTTCCAGCTTCTTTGCAATTTACACAAGAACCAAAGTGATCCAAAGCCGATTTTTGAAATCTCACTTCCCAAGTACAAATTGACCAAGTATTACCACCTAGGATGAAAGAATAAATTGATATGATTGTGGTTCAATTGCATCAAAACCAGAAAAATCGTTTCTTGAAGCAATTGTAGCTGCTCCGGCACCTATTGATTTAGCACCTTCTAACATCAATATTAGAAAATTATTGCCTCACGCTTTTCCTTCACTGCTCTTTCTTGGATTCTTCGTCGACTTTGCGGAGACCTATGTTTTTGGTAAACAGTCACCCAGGCCTGGTCACTGCGACCCCCTTTGTGAGGAGGCACCCCTTCTTCCGAAGTTACGGGGCTATTTTGCGGATTCCTTAGAGAGAATTGTCTCGCGCCCCTAGGTATTCTCTACCTACCCACCTGTGTCGGTTTCGGGTACAGGTACCCTTTTGTTGAAAGTTGTTCAAGCTTTTCCTGGGAGTATGGCATGGGTTACTTTAGCGCCATAGCGCCTGGTACTCGGACATTGGCTCAAGGCATTTCCTTAAGAAGGTCCTTATAACAAGCCCTTTCCCTGTCCCCGCAAGACAGCAAGTCACTCCTTTGATGCCCAATGGACACGGCCCCACTCCTCAGCTAATCAATGTCCCCTCGATTTTTTGGAAAAAGGAATCGCTCCAAAAAACATTTTTTTGACTTATTAACCTCCTCCTTGATCTGCATCTGCAGGAGGTGAAATTCAAATTGCAATTCCACTTTGTTGATATGATTGTGGTTTAATTGCATCAAAACCAAGAAATCATTTCCCTTTTACTACAAAGAGGGATAAATAACCATGTACAGACAATTTTAATGCCTAGCATCAGTTATAAACTTGAAAGATGCTATGGTTAATTTTTCCCGCCTCTAATGTTATGCAAGTTCTAGATATATGAACCTTAATTGCCATTCTCAAAACAGAATTAGAAAGAGATTCCCATTGCATCCAAAGTTTCAGCTTCTTTGCAGACTACACTAGAACCAAAGAGATTCAAAGTAGACTTTTGAAATCTCACTTCCTAATATAATCAAATTGACCAACTATTACCACCTAGGATGAAAGAATAAATTGATATGACAGGTTATATTGCATCAAAACCAAGAAATTATTTCCCTTTTAAGACAAAGAGGGATATAACTTGTACCGACAATTTTAATTCCTGGTGTCAGTTATAAACTTGTAAGATCCTATGGGTTTTTTTTCCATCTAACATTATAACTTCTAGATATATCAACCTTAATTGACATTCTCAAAACGGAGTTAAAAAGAGATTCTCATTGCATCCATAGTTAAGAAGATAACTTTACCTTATAGAAAAGAATTGGGTAATTTGCATGGTAATTGCACTGGTGTAGACTCCCATGTCTTCTCTCTTTCTCTCGCCACATGTTTGGTATGAGATTAATAACATATATTGACTCATTGTTCAAGTAATCTAACTTTCCCTTGAGCCTCTATTTTTGCTGTTTTAAGCATTAAGCATACCGTTTCATTTCAAAAGACTCATCCAAATTTGAAAAGTTAATAACATATATTGACTCATTGTTCAAGTAATCTAACTTTCCCTTGAGCCTCTATTTTTGCTGTTTTAAGCATTAAGCATACCGTTTCATTTCAAAAGACTCATCCAAATTTGAAAAGCTAAAGAGACCATGCTATGATGAAACATTGGCTGACAATGTTTAGTAAGAACCTAGAGCTGAAAGAGGATTTTCATAAAATGAAAGTGGAAACAGTGACTTTGCTGCTAGTAAATTTTTATGAGACAGTTGTCTTCAGATGTGCATAGAAAGTTCTAGGTTCAGTTCATCAAGATACTTGCTAGGAAAATGCGTACGCTGTAAACTTATTCCCAGTTATGTTTATACACAACGATTGGCAAACATAAGATTTTTTGGGTTTAATTAATCAAACGTTTTTTTGGCCATGCACAAGTTGCCTATATAAACATATACAATGAAAAGACATAATCCACCCCATAGATACTCTAGCACAATGAATATATCATCATTACAGTACAAGAAGTTTTGTGTCATGCAGAGTATGATACAACTAACAAGCACCTCAATAGCTACAACACCTACATCAGACCCCAAGGGCCATTTCACACTAAAAACAAAATCTCCTTTAGAAAAATTAACTGGTAAAAAATAAATACCTAGATGCCTGCTCATAGCTAAAGAACTTCACTGCTGAATTTGGGACAATTCGTGCACAGTTAGTACCGTTGCCTTTGAATAGTCCTCTAAGACCCTCAGTTCTCCATATGTATTTGAGGCCCTGAATAGTTCCATTGTACTGAATGTTATGAGGATTCTGGACCTGTATTTAGCAAGAACGCAATTAAATGGCTAAAGTTTATGAAGAAACTCAAACCCATGCTTGCCTATAGACCCACAAATTGAAAAGTAGGAATGTTTGTTCCATCATACAAGTTGTTATCTAAAGAAAACTTATAAGACGTACATATATAGTTAATAAATGCAAGAAGATGACCAAAAGCTCATGACAATCCATGTTCGACAAAAAAACCCAATGCAAGCGAAAAATGAATTTGGCTCTAACATCTTCCAGAGTACATAGCAGTGGTATCATCCAAGAAGTGTTCACATTATGACAGATGTGAAGGGAGGAAAGGAAGTACAATGAGGATACACTACCTGAAGCAAAATTTTTAACCTCTCAAGTGGTGCAACAGCAGTCCGTGATCTGTGCAACAAGTGTAGAAAATAAATTTAGCAAAGACGTATGGTACACGATGGTAGACATCAAAAATATAAGAATGTATACTGCTGGAACTATTTCTGACATGTTTTTATGCTGTTAAATACAATCAATAAGCAGCAATGAGGACTGCCGTATTGTGTACATTTGAAAAGAAATGTTTGTTACCTTGAAGTATCAGGGTGACAAAAAATAAAACTTTTGTGTATTGATGCTAAAACTGCACCATCGACTTCATCAAAGTTTACAAGGATAGAAATCAAAAATAAAAATAGAATAAGGTATTTATCTGGCAGTATTTCTGGCATATGTTTACATTATAAAATACGAACAAGAATCAGTAATGAGTAACTACCAACTTTTATTTGTCTACATAAACACCCTTGTTTTAAAGGAAAAAAGATGGGATTCCAGCCAGGAAATCCCAGCCAAAACTACCTCCATTTAACCACAAAGTTGTACATACTACATATGTTTGCATCCAACCCAACGAAGTGTAAACTTAGTCCATCCTTAACTCCCCATATACACATAATAACACCCCAACATACTGCTGAAATCATCATCCCATCTACTACCACACAATGTAGTAACAAACAAAACAAAATACATGATTTACTTAAGAACAACAAAGCATACAAAACCAAAAATATGCTAGTTAGCCTAGGCATTGGACGCGACGCATAAAGCCTAGGCAGGGCCTAGGCGGTTCTATTTTAATTAATTACAATAATTGATAGTAAATGTCATATAGAAAGCTTAGGCGCTAGACTAATAAGCATATTTCTTTCTTGGTTTAAGTGGTGGTGAAGGAAGTTTTGCTGAAGTTCAGAGGAGGTAGAGGATGTGTTCATAGTTGGAGGCTAGAGGAGTTGTAGGTTGGAGGACGTGGAGAGAGTGCAATAGAGAAAATCACGATCAAGGCCTAAAGTATGCAGTCTACATAATAAGCAGTTCATGCTCTCCTAGGTGCTCTCAAAATCTAAGTGGGCGGCCTAAGTACCGCCTAGGTCTAGACGTACGCCAAGGCGGGCTAGGCGGAGGCTTTGTGAAACATTGTTGTGTTGCATTAACTAGAACCAAAGAAATACCCAGTTATCACATACAACCATTAAACTCACTGTTCACTATGATTCTTCCTATCTTCTCTTGGTGACAAAACCAAACAGTTAGAGCTGGCTAAGGTCTCCGCAAAGAAAATACTTTGCTGCAGAAATTTCCTTTTGCTCCCCGCATCATTTTATTATATAGAAAAGTTTTCTCTCTCTTCATTTCTTTTCTTATTCCTCCAGATCAAAGCTAGCAGATGAACAGATGCAACTCCAAAAGGGTTCTATCTTTTATTGCTAACAGTGGCTTTACTAAAAACTTCAATACTTGAGACATCGCGAGATATACTTCTAAACCTCATACTTGTCAAGAATCCTAGTCCCAGTGTAAAAGAGTCCACCCATCATGGATCAATGTGGTTCAGAATGAAGGCAAAATTCAAAATTGTTATTACAGTTTGTATGAATTGAACGTACCACTATGCATATCTATACATAAGCAAAATGGGGTTTATAAACTCAGATCATAAAAGAAAAGAGACCTCCTGACAAAGGAGAATTAATGTTGACCTAACAAGATGGTTGTGATATTCTAATAATTTAGCAGGAAACTTAAAATTGTACCTTTAGAAAATACATTAAACACCACTATCTCAAACTCCTTGCATTTCGTCTCAGTCGTGGGGAGGAAAAAAAAGGAACTTTCTAATTGATTAGGCTCTTTCAACGTTTCACATCAGTTAATCAAAAGGTGAAAATATAGCTAATATTGAATAAGTACAAATTTTAGACATTTCAAACCTAAAGTACAGGTTTTTTTTAAACAACTGTATCAATTAAAATCTAAAATTGACTTCCCAGATCATGCCACAAACTAAAACCTCCTTTAAAAAAATCAAAATTGACTTCAAGTCAAAATAAAAAATAACCAAGCCAATCACTATTTAAAAGATTTAGCTCAAGCAACACTAACATCTAACAAAACCCTAGAAATCAAACACCCTTTTTAAAAAATAGATCACTCACACTCCACCGGCGACGCCGCCGGCGACGAGAGATTTGCTAATGGAGAGGAGCGCGTGGCCGGGGGCCTTGACGCCCTCCTCGCGAGCATTCGCTCGTCCGCGCAGATTCACAGCTCTTCGTCACCGGCCTTCATCATCCGACGCCATCAACAGAAGAGAACAACGGACAAAATCCTCGGATCAGAAACCTAACCCTAGAAAAAACTCACGAAGCTTCACGCTCATCTCCGATTCTCCTCCTAGACGGCGCGCGGCGCTGGAGAGAGAGAAGAGAGAAATTAGAGAGGATGTGAGGCGTGGTTTGTTCTTTCTGATGGGGGGGTGGGGGTTTTTTTTTTTTTTTGTTTGGGGGCGGGGGGGGGGGGTGTGTGTGTGGTGGCGGGGGGGGGTTGGGTTTGGATACGGCGTTTGATCAATTTTAAATAGGCTTTTGATGGCGAAATGGACGGTTGGATTATGGATTGGGGTCTCAACGGAAACCTAGATCCGTCGTACTTCGTGAGGGACAAATGGCCGGTTGAAATTGCAAATTACGGATTTGGCCCCGGAGATATTATTGACGAAATGTATGGATAGTTGCATATCAGCCAATGCATAATTAATTACATATTTGGTAATTGGAATGTTTTGGGTCATAGATAGGTGCATTTTTTTTTCCTTTTTGGGGAAAAGAAAGCAGGTGGAAAGTTTAGATGGGTGTAATCTCTCCATATCGTATTTAGCAAAGCTAATGCTATAAAGAGATTGGTCTACTATAATTTATCTTATCGATTTAATAATGGTATTGAGTGTAACATGTATTTTTATTGTTTCCATGCAATTGTAAATCATGAAATGTTTAGTGATTCAAAATGTTTTTTTTTTAAATGCTAGTAAACTTCTTATTTAAGGATAAAGCCAACTCCAACTCCGCCTTGTAACCAATATCAAGAATAACACACTTGTTTATTCAGTACACCGAAAGCTTGTATATATGGATCCTTATTGAAGCTTGCGTTTCATGTCTTTCAACTTGCGAGGTAAATTCCCAGGTCAAAAATTTCGAAATGATTACTGTAGACGATGATGGAGGAGAGGTTATATTTCTACAAAGGAATATTAATATTGCTGCAGAAAGGATAGGAGATGTTGCCGATAACTAAGACTTTATCTGTGCGTACAATGTTTGCTTTAGTTGCTTTTCTTTTGGGGAGATATTATGAACTCTATATAAAATACAGAAAATTTTATCGGTCTGTTTACGTCTTTGGGTGTTGAGGGGTGCAAAAAGTTTGTAACAACCAAATGCTCAATGTGATATATAATAACTACTCAGAGTTTCAGTTAAAAACTCTACCTTTGGCGAGTAGAACACACGTCACTTTCACAGGGGTATACCCGTAATTATGTCAAAAAGAGCCCCTTCGGGGGCTCAACGATTCGTGGTCTTCAGATGAGCACGTGAGGGGCAGGTGAGGAGGAGGGGGGCAGCCGTTGGGTGGGCGTTTTATTATGATTTTATCCAACAAGCAAAGATCGAGGGAGACGTGCCCACAGTTGTGGGCCTTGTGGCCCGTCGTGAGATCCGCAGGCCAGAATAATCTTATCTTATTTTTCTTAAAAGGTAAAAGGGAAAAAAAAATTCATGAAGCGTGCGTGTGTGGCTACGCTCCGCGCTCTTTCAGCATCGCTCTTTTCACGAGGATGGAGGAGGACGTGAACCATTTATGCGCTCGTTTTATACGGTTTTTTTGTTTATTTGCTTGCTCATTTATTTATTTTGATAATCGGATAAGTGGGCCAAGTTTCATGTCGGGCGTCACTCGCAGGCACTCAGTTATTGGGCTCGATTTAACGCCCACACCGAGCGCGTGTCGGTGTCCAGTACTGTCCTGGCTATCTACTTCTTTATTAGTAAAGGAGAACAACAAAAAATTTATAATGAACAGTAACATAAAGTTTTTTTAATTAACAATGTTTACATGCCCACATTTAAATAACCAACCACAAAATTAACCACCTCCCTACATTTTTCTTTCACCTGCCCACGTTTTCCTTCAACTCCACACCCACGCTCCTACAAAGTGGTTTTTTCTTCTCACCCACAACCAACCAGTATACTATTTTCCTTTTGCTCTACACCAAAATTAAGCTTCTGAATTTGTTTCCAAGAAAGCTACAAATGTGAAGGTAAGAATTCCTCTCCCAAATCCTCACCGTGCTTGAATTAATCGCTCGATCGATCGCTTGATCGTTCTTTATGAAGTTTTGACCTTTGATTATAACATTGATTTCCCCTCCATCTCCTTCCCCCTAATCTGGCCTAATTTTAAAGGTAATTCTTCATTTTTGTCGCTTTTTCATTGAATATTTGGGTGCAAATTTGTATGAGTTAGTGAATATTTTGGTATTGATCAATCTATTCTTTTAGAAATTTTGAAATTTGATAATTTTTTGCTAAAATTTTCGTATTAGGGTTTGAGGATGGACGCTTCTGACAAGATGGGGGGGGAGGCAAACAAGCATCACCTGCTGCCTTTGTTGAAGGAGAGATTCAAGATGCCTGTGATGATTCATGCAGCAATTGCTTTGAATAGTTTTGTGTCAATGATCCTTCAGCGGTATCAATATGCTTACATCTTTCTCTTCTCCCTAACGTTAATCTCATATTTCTCTTCTATAATTTATCCATCTGATCTGGTACCTAATAGAACGGAAAGAGGAACCCATAGCAAGTTACCACTAGAAAGAAATTCATCACAATCATCAAAATCTTAACCAACGAAGCCTCTTCCTATCTTATTACAGGCTCCACCTCCTCTACCGCAACAAATCCATCGCCCATTCGTCATTGTCATGTGGATCAACAATTGCCCGCCGCACCCTCTCCATTGAAAGCGCCATCCC